GACCTAGCCGTCCTATACCATACACATGAACAAATGCAGATGATGACAACTAGTGTTGCAATAGCCTCTGCATCATTAGGCCTCAACATACACAAAGGGAAAACCAAGGTCCTCAAATACAACTTGGAGAACATCAACCCAATCACACTTGATGTAGAAACTCTGGAAGATGTAGGGTCTTTCATATACCTGGGAACTATCGTCGATGAACAATGAGGATCAGATGCAGATACAAAGGCGAGGATCGGCAAAGCAAGAGACGCACTCCTACAAGTGAAGAACATATGGAACTCAAAACAACTGTTTGTCAGTCAATATCAAAGTCACAATCTTCAATATGAACATCAAGACAGTCCTACTGTACGGAGCTGAAACGTGGAGATCTAATAAAATCATCGTCAAGAAGGTACAACTACTTAAAAACATTTGTCTTCGCAAGATACTCAACATCAATTGGCCGGATATCATCAGCACCAGATTACTGTAAGAGAGATCAAACCAACTTCCATCTATAGGGGAAATCATGGATAAACGATGAAAGTGAATAGGTTATACATTATAGATCTGTATCACGAGGCAAGCCCTAACTTGGAATTCTGAAGGGAAGAGAAAGAGTGGAAGGCCAAACGACACATTACGTCGGAAAATAAAAGTGGATATGAAAACGATGAATAACAACTGAAAAGAATTGGAAACGATTGCTTGGTGCAGGGTTGGATGGCGAGTGCTCGTGGGCGGCCTCTGCTCTTCCACGAATAGTATCAGGCGTAAGTAAGTAGGTAAGTAATTGTTTGTTTGATCTCATCCGTAATCTCGTAATCTAAAGTATAAAACGAATGAATGTGTTAGTTATTGCACACAATCTGTAACTTCAAAAACTCTTCAATTCGAAAAAAATGTTCATTTTGATGAGATTGTGTGTAATTCATTCATAGCCTTCGTTAGATTAATTTCATGATAACCAAAACAATGAAAATTTTCTCAATTCTCTGACTGATTATGAAGGTCTACCAGTTCAATTCACATCATTTAAATGATCTAAAGTCACACAGCATCAAAAGGATTTACACACAGCTACTACGTTGCTGAACTGATATTTCTTTTCTTTTTCCTGAAGTAGATGACTAAAGTAGATTTGATGGTGAGACTATAATTTATGGACGAATCAATCAGATTTAGGATAACAGTTCTTGGATTTTGACGTGAAATTCATTCACCCATTCAGGCAAACAGTATTTTGGCATTTTAGCTGACGTCAGTTCGTGATGAAAAATCGTAAACCTAATTTCAAATTCTAACCGTTAACTGTGAATCATATTCCTTATTCTTCTAACTGCTTTACAATTATCATTTAGCCTTATAAAGTAGGTAGAATCGTTGGCGTCGCTCAGAGGTCGTTCATAAATTGTAATCTCATCGATTTGATCTGTATGCTATAAATCTTTTTTTTTACAAAACAATAACACAATAAATGTATTGTATTTAGCTGTTGTCTCTTCAAATACATTTATTTTATTTTATTTATATACACATATAAACATTGGTACAAAAAGGTACCAAACAAATATGCGCCACATAAATCATTCCATTTTTGTAAGGGCTGGGATACTGCCCGGGTGCCCAAACTGAAGCTGGTGGTTTTCTTAGGGGGCCATACCCGGAACCTTCAACGTAAAAGTGTGATCCACAAGGTAGTGGAGCAACATCACAAGATGCAGTCCCATGGTAGCCGGTGACCAGCAGTAGGTTTTTATGTCATTTGTTTCCTTAGGGTACTGTAGCCCATGTACAGCATAGGTTTGGAATCAGGGTTTTCCAAATCCCATAGATGGATCCTCCGTATCCACCGATCCGGGTAATGCACTGGACATTCACTTTCCATTCTCTCGATTTCGTAAACAGCACCCGTGTGGCGAGAAGGCAGTGAGTAGGACTTCCGTGGTAGTGGTTGTATGTACGTGACCAAACTCATAAGTCGTCTTTATTTAGAAAATACTGTCATTCCCAAAAGTCTACGTCTTAGAGGAGAATACAGTTTTCAAGGTATGATTGTGTTCCACATGTTCAACTACAAACATGAAGTTAATGAAACAAGTGCATTCAAAATAATTAATCGATATAATAATCAAAATGTTTAAATTCAACTTTTATGTTGCCAACTTATTATTTTCAGAAAGGGTTTTTGTGGAGATTTTAGAAATTTCACTGATTGAAATCATGAGTTAGATGAAGCTAGACAACAATGGAAAAACTGGGAGCACGGGATGGGACTAATCAGCAGTGCGCATCTACGAGTCCCCACCCCGCGAGACTCGAACCCAGGACCTATCAGTCTCGCGCCAGGCGCCTAACCAACTAAACCACTGAGCCGGCATCCAACATTGTTAATGTCTAACTTCAATAAATCCACGAAGTTGCGCCACCGTACACCATTGTCTTCAGTGAGTTAATATCTCACAACAAACCTGGTTGAACTCCACTGGTAACGGCTTCCCACTAGAACGCCAGTAGTATCTCTTGAAATCAGGCACTAGTGAGCAGATGTTTATTATCAGAAAGTGTTTCTTGTGGAGATTTTAGAAATTTCACTTATTAAAATCATGAAGTTAGACAATAACACCGTTGGACACCCGCTCAGTGATCTAGTTGGTTAGGCGCCTGGCGTGAGACCGATAGGTCCTGGGTTCGAATCTCGTGGGGTGCGGGTTCGTGGATGCGCGCTGCTGAGGGGTCCCATACTAGGACGAAACGGCCGTCCAGTGCTTCCAGGTTTTCCATGATGGTCTAGTTTCAACTGACTCATGGTTTCAATCAAGGAACTTATTATTTGTATTGTTCTTATTATTCATATTACGTAATCTATTATTACAATCTTTCGATTACTTTATCATGTTTACTCCTTGTTCATATATCCCCACAAAACGACTATTCTAACATAATAAAAAACTTTCATGCATATACAATTGTACAGCTTGATAATAAATTCGTTGAAAAGTGATCCATTCACTAAACTTTATGTTTTTAAAAGAATGACTAATTTCTTATCAATTACCTTGGTAACAGAAATAAAACTGAATAATTTATTTTAATTTTCTCAGTCTTCATATAATTTTGATTACAAATTAGTGAGTTCACCATTGGATACAGTCTTGTTGGTCTACACGTGAGAAGGGAGGTTCTGCATTCGATTTCCAATTACTGACTCGTGGATGCGCATTCCTGGGGAACCCCATACTAGGACGGAATGGCTGTCCTGTGTTTCCAGTTTATTAATAGTTGTCTAACAATGATCGGTTGATGAGTTCAATAAAATTTGTATTTTAATTTCCTGAGTAAAACCAAGGAGAATCGAGCAAAATTTAATTCATTCATCATATCCCCAAATGATGTCGTCTTTACTTTGTTTAAATCTTCTAAGCTGAATTGAAAATTTAGTTCATTTTTGATCAGTTTATGCTGAAATACGTTCTTCTATGGATCTCTGATAGAAAATTACTACATACTTTCCACTAACTTTTATATTGAGTCATTTTTCATAGTGCCATTAACCTCTGAGTTATATGAATTTAGAATCTGTATAAACCAACAGATATCGATCTCATGGAGCTATCATTCACTGAAATGAGTTACGTAGTGAAGTAACTACCATTTTACTTTTTTTATCCATTCCTAATCTGGTGTGCACACTTCTGAAACAAGATTAGGAAACATGTTTAATTCGAATTTCGGTGGCTCAAGATAGTGACATCAAACTGTGTTATCTTCAATATACTCTGACATACCTTGCCGGACCTATGGATTACATACATATCGTTGTCACCAGGTGTGGAAAATTCTTCAAAGGCAAAGATGAACAAACACAGAAATGGTCAATTGTCCTAACATTGATGGCCCAGGTTTTATGGGTGTCGTATAGTTCAGATTAGCATAAATCAATCCAGATTTTAATATATGTAGATTGTTCTTGTATATCACTCTTTCATTATTACTTAGGAAGCTATCGAGTTACACAACATTTTGGATTATTTTCTCTATGGTAGATGAATGTGTTATATAGCATTTTCTAATACCCATCTAACTTCAAATAGAGATCTCTGGATCCTATTCTGACTGAATAAGATAAACTATAAGGTAAGCATATCTTTGTTCTAATCGCTATGCTCCGCGCATGTATAAGTGTTACTAAGCTGTCAACGTATAAGTAATAAGTCGAAACGTTAATTTAATATCCAGCTTCATCTTTCACAGACAGTATAACAAAATTCGGGCAAAGCAACTATAATTAGTGTCAAATGAAATTATCGTATAAAAGATTAGTTGATGTATAACGTTTAGAATACTACATCTTCATTATGGTCATCAATAAGAAATGACATAATGGATCACTATTTAGTTACGCAATCATTAGAAAAGATGTCATTATTTTGGCAACCAAATAATCTATTCAACTTTTATTGATATTACAATTAATTACTAATGAAATAAAAGAAAACAAAAGGTAACAAACCCGTATGCTTTTTGTTATTAGAGTAGAATCATCTCGAATTGAAAACTAAAGACTTAATCCTCCTATCCTAAAGAAAGTTCTCAATTGAAATCGACGAACTCTATAGGATTATCAATCGGTAAACTACAATAATAGTAACTAAGTCAATTCAAGCTTTCATACACAATATACAAGACGGGTAAGTTGACTGTCAATTTAAGGCACTTTCAATGGCTCGAATGATTTTTAAACACAATGGATTATCAGTACTTCAAATATGAAGTATTTAGTAAAACGTAAATTTTATGATTGACCTATAACATCGGCGAGAAAATCTTATCTATCTTCAACGTTACTGTTACTCAGAAGTGAGGCTATTTTATTGTTTAAAATGGAACACTGAGGGACATCGAAATAGTCAAACTCAAACATACATTCTAAGCTCAATCAACAAAACTTAATCAATATATATATGATCATAAATAAGTTTCAATTGAAAATGAACAAAACAATATGAAGAAACCACGGAAAATTTATTTAACTAATGCCTAAATTCACAATTAATTTATGCTTCTTCATTTTCTTCTTCTTCAAACTCTCCTTCTTCTTCAGCAGTTGCATCTTGGTACTGTTGATATTCACTGACAAGATCGTTCATATTTGATTCTGCCTCTGTAAATTCCATCTCATCCATACCCTCACCTGTGTACCAATGCAAGAAAGCTTTACGTCTGAACATGGCCGTGAATTGTTCACTAACACGTTTGAACAACTCCTGAATAGCTGTACTGTTCCCTATGAAAGTGACTGACATTTTCAGACCTCGTGGTGGAATGTCACACACTGCCGTCTTCACGTTGTTCGGGATCCATTCAACAAAATAGCTTGAGTTCTTGTTCTGCACGTTGAGCATCTGCTCATCAACCTCCTTCATCGACATACGACCTCGAAATATTGCAGCCACTGTGAGATATCGTCCGTGTCGTGGATCGCATGCAGCCATCATGTTCTTCGCATCGAACATCTGTTGAGTCAACTCGGGAACGGTGAGAGAACGATACTGTTGACTGCCGCGACTGGTGAGAGGTGCGAATCCAGGCATGAAGAAGTGGAGACGTGGGAATGGCACCATGTTCACAGCGAGTTTCCTCAAGTCAGCATTCAGCTGACCAGGGAATCTCAGACATGTTGTCACTCCTGACATAGTTGCACTGACCAAGTGGTTCAAGTCTCCATAGGTGGGTGTGGTGAGTTTCAGAGTACGGAAGCATATGTCGTAGAGTGCTTCGTTGTCAATGCAGTATGTCTCGTCGGTGTTCTCAACGAGTTGGTGAACAGAGAGCGTGGCGTTGTATGGTTCGACGACTGTGTCGGAGACCTGAAAATATGTTTAGTAGTAAGTTGTGTTACCTTAGGTGAAGGGACCACTGAGAATGTGTTCATGATGCGGTCTGGATACTCCTCACGAATCTTCGAGATGAGTAGTGTTCCCATTCCGGAACCTGTTCCACCTCCTAGAGAGTGGGTGAGTTGGAAGCCTTGTAGACAATCACACGATTCAGCCTCCTTGCGTACAACATCGAGAACTGAGTCGACCAACTCTGCACCTTCAGTGTAGTGTCCTTTGGCCCAGTTGTTTCCAGCACCACTCTGTCCAAACACGAAGTTGTCTGGTCTGAACAGTTGTCCGAATGGACCGGCACGCACACTGTCCATCGTACCAGGTTCCAGATCGACGAGAATGGCACGAGGCACATACTTTCCACCAGTTGCTTCATTGTAATATACGTTGATGCGTTCTAGTTGTAGATCGGAATCTCCATGATAAGTGCCAGTTGGGTCGATTCCGTGTTCATCTGAGATCACTTCCCAAAACTGAGAAATGAGTGTAAATATATATTGCTTACCTTTGCACCGATTTGATTTCCACATTGACCAGCTTGAATATGAACAATTTCACGCATATTGAATTATAGAGCAAATGTGAATAAGTTGGTAGTGAGAAACGAAGTGGCAATTGAATGAGAACTAGAATGTTACTGGCTTTTATATATGTGCCTTACTATATTTTCATCCATATTGCCATAGTTACGGACTTGACAACGAAACAACTAATTGGAACAATCTATAAGGTTATTTGTTTATGTTGTATTTAAGGTCAAAGGTTTTATTAGGTGAATTCTCTTATGTAAATATCTGAAAATTCTGCTAAGTGAATGGTGAGTCAGTTTCTATCCAATGGTTGATATATTTCTAGTTTTAGTACAAACAAATGAAGTTAATATAGTAACAACAATGATTTTTTTTTGTTTTCTTTGCTTAAATAATTGCTTATTAATCCTATTCTATGGATTAAAATAAGATTTATTCTGGTGTCGGATGATCAATTATGTCTAAACGTATTGTTTGGATTGATAACAATTTAAGAACTTTCAATTTGTTTAGAGATGGTCTCGTTCAAATTAATTAGATAGGTGGTTCTTGAGTAGTAGAACTAAGGATAGGGAGTGAAGTAGTCGAACGAGTTGACAACTTCACTTATCTTGTAAATCTGATCAGTCTAAATGGGTTGATGTCAGACGAAATCTCAGCATGGATTCGAAAAGCTTGTCTGGCTTTTGCTAACTTGCTTCACCTATGGCGAAGGCGAGAAATATGGCCATTAAGAGTAGAAGATACTCGTAAGCTACTAGTATTTGATCACAGATGCCTTAGAAATATTGCACTTATCTGCTGGGACCATCGGGTAAGTAATAGTGAGGTTAGACTCAGGGTATTGGGGAATGGTGGTAAATCAGTTGATGAGGTTGTGAATCTTCATCGACTGAGATGGTCGGGCCACGTGTCACGTATGCCTGAACACCGATTACCACGTCGTGCAATGCTAACGGGTGTTAGAGATGGTTGGAAGAGAATTAGGGGGCGGCCAAACCAAAAAGTGGCAGCAGTGCATGAAGTCTTTGACTTCTAGTCTGAGCCATATTGGTGGATGCAGACTACTTGGTTGGGGTCCACGTGACTATCGTAACCATTGGTTGGAGACTCTTGGTGACATGGCTCAGAATCGGTCACAATGGTGTAGGTGTATACACTCTCTGTCTTTACTTAAACTATGAGATTAAAATCACTTCATATCTTTCTTTCTACGTACCACCATTGAATTAACTACTTCTATGAATCCAGTTTTCATCTTGCTGTGTTACTGAGGTGTGGCAACTTGAACTGATGCATGTGTGTGCCTGGTCCTACGTTGTAGCTCACTGACGAGTAGAGGGAATTTAATTAGATAGTATGAAAATGAAATCTAATAAAAATGTAGCAGAATGACAAGCTTGGATGTAGTCCTACTGATTACGACCATGGTTGAAAGGAGTTCTGATAGGATGACTATTAAATTTTCAATAAATGTTACTACTTTTAATTAGAAAAGTACGGTTCTGGGTACTTATCTCAATAAGTTCTAATAGATTAGAACTAGTCTGTGTATAGGTTATTCTAAGCTTACTTAATATCTCCATCTAAAACCTCATTTATACAACTGGTTTATAGTCGAACTATGGTTAGTAGTTTAGATGCTAAGGCGTAGATTCATTATCATATGTTGAATTAAGAAAGTAGCTTTTTGGTATTCTTTCGGATTCGTTGTTTTCTTCAAGCCAAGTGGTTTGAATTAAAAATTCTTATTGTCGTTCTGGACTACATAATCACCTTGAAGTAAAATGTATACACTTTCCACAAGTGGCAAATCAAATTGTTGTGGTGACTTATATGAACGGTAGTCTTCGTGTTTTTTTCAGCCTCATTATCTTTGTAAACCTATTGACTGTCTTGTTTATCTAACTTTTTAGAGCCTGACCGGTAGACCTTATCCTTATATGTAAGTAAAGATGGATGGCGGCTAGAAGTGGAATCCAGGACGCAAGTTTCACCAGCTGGATGTACATACATTCCACAGTTAACGTTCAGTCGAGGACTAGAACCCAGTTCCTTTCGCTTGAGAGGCTATCGCGTCATCCACTTGGCTACTGAGTACCGATAACCTCTAACTTGTGCCACGGGTTGAAGTTGTAATAAACTTTTGTATTGTTAGCACTCCTTAAGATCAATGGAAAGATCTAAAGAAACATTACAAAAACCTATCCGTATATGTTTATAAATGGAGTCTAATAATGGTTTATCAGTCAATTGAAGACCGACTTGAATGCCGTGCCTCTAAGGATTGTCTGGGACTCCTTAAATTTCCTCGATTGAGAATTTCGAAGTTTTCTTAATCGAATTCATGTTTATTTATCCGAGTACTGTTGTAACTTTAAGCCCGGCTAATTATCACGTGACTTATTCGGCAATCGGAATACGACTTATACAATCTTAGCACTGTGCAAAGCAATGACCTTCGACCGGTATGAGCAGCTTAGAGTTTTTATTGATCCTTTTTCCTCCTAGTCCTACCAGATTAGTCAAGAACACCAATACCAGCTTCCATTATGCGGATAATTTATTTAAAACATACTTGATTTATATACAAGTCAAGCAGAACACATAACACCATAAAATAGGAGATAACATTTGTAAAAGGTAAAGCCAAAAGGTGGCTGTGAACGTGGGAGACTGTAATTAATCAACGGAGTATAATTTAAGGGCAGTAAATAATATCATAATTGTCTATAAGTCAAATTGAAGCTTATAATAAGAGGAATGTGAATTTACATAATCTAGTTACTAAATAGTTGTACAATAAGAATATGTATATAATATTAGTCCATTAATAGTCCACAGATGTTACCCGTAATTTAATCTTCACTAGGATATAACAAGCTGAAAGAGAAGGAAACATGAGGAAATTGTATGATACAACGGAAAAAACTCGCTGAAATTTATCGTAAGCCAGAACGATCAGTGAAAAGCAAGGATGGCAAAGTAATCACGAACATTGTAGAACAGAGAAACAGGTGGGTAGAGCACTTTAAGGAACATTTGAATCGACCAGCCCATTGGGGATAACAGGCGTAAGTAAGTAAGTAGGATAATAACAAGTACATTGTTAGAATCAGTAATATGTCATATCATTTTTCCGTCAGTTTGTTTTAGTTTGTGCTTCAATGAATGTTGAGTTCATTTTGCCTCATTTAACGCTTTTATTTTGTCGAATATTTTAGTAAAATTCTTTGACCATACATAAGATGAAATGTTGGCTAATGAAAGACAGCGACTCTGAAGACATCCTCTATTCTACATATCCAATTTCTATTCATCTGTATATACTTCTCCTTGTTTAAGGGATTTTCTAGTTTGATTTTCTCACTCATAACATTGGACACTACCTCACTGGGTGGTGATCAATGTCATTTATGTCAGGTCCTTCTTAGTTCACATCTAATCCTATCGACCAAGTTGCAATGCAGCCATCAGTTAGATGCACTGTGTTGATCAACATCCAGTGATCAATCATTTGTAAATACATCTCAGTCTTACAGGAGGTCATTTGCTGCCCGGATAGCTCAAGGGTAACGTCTCCAACTGTGAAGCTGAGTGGCACGTGATCAAACCCGTCAACGAGAGTTGTATATAATAAAACTAAACAATTTTGATAAAGTTCCATAAAATTTGTAATACATACGGGTTGTAAACAAAATTATGAAGATGGAATTTGTTTCGTGGTAAAAATAATTGTTTGTAGGATCATTAGAAGTGATTTGAATTACTTCATTGATCAATCTTTGTCAGCATACTTGCTTCCTTTGCAAACTTCAATATAACTATTTGAATTTGTGGTTAGCATTGAAATCTAGGACTGATATTTTGCTTTATTAAGGAATTAACAGCTTGATGTACCAGCATAATTCAAAACCATTCTAAAAATTATATAAATATCATACTCATTTAAATAAGTTAATGGCTATCTGAAGTCAATAGCTACACGGATAACAGATTAGGCAAATAGTTCCTAGAGTGATGTATTCAAACAACTGTAAAGTTACCCTGATCATGAAAAATCTAACACTGTTTCATTTTAAGTACACAAATCTGTCTTGAGATGTTTGATTTTTACAGTTATGGTAAATCTACGAATATGGTTTAGTTTTTGGTTGATAAGGATTTCAGTATAAGATAGTGGTTGAAGGTGGTCAACAGAAAACCCTACACCAAGGTTTCGTGATACTTTGCACTTGTCAGCAACACCGTTCAACGCTGGCCGACTCAGATGATAAGCACTCACGCGCGAGATTGATAGATCCTGGATTCGAATCTCGTGAGGTGATATCATGTATGCGTAATGCTGAGGAGTCCCATACTAGGACGAAACAGTCTTCCAGTGCTCCCAGGTTTTTCATGCTGTTCTAGCTTCAACTGACTAATGAATTCAACTATTTAATTACTATAATATCCACAAAACCCCTCTCAAGTCTTGTTTTTATCCAGCACAGCTTTTAATTTTTTTTTTGTTTTTGACGAAATTCGAAGTGCTTTATATTGCTAATTGACAACTTAAAATAAACAAAAAATTCGGCAAATTTTCTCCAAAAAATAAATAAACAAATAAATCAATAATCACTAGAAAAGATACGGCTTTTGCCAAAAAATATGTAAGTTTATCTTACAGAAACGTATTTAGTTGCTTAATTGATTTATTTACTAAAAGGAACCCAGTAAAATAAAGATAACTGGCATAGGAAGTTAACTAGATTATCTGGTCGGTATTCATTTTACAGCGAATTTGGATAACTTTCCTGATATCTTATATTGTACGAACGTTTCATTTACCTGAATTAATGGTAACTCTGGTTGTTATAATGAGTATCAGTCTCGTGACTTCCGAAGGAATTCGGATTTCATCATGAGGTGTCATAACTCTTCTAAATGAAGATCTTTTAAGTCACATGGTAGAGTTTAAGTGGTTTGAATTATTTTTTCTGGTTCGCATTTTTCTAGCGAGTTAGTTTTCTACTGGATGGAGTCACCAACTCCATGCCCAACCCTCCTCCTTTATTCGGGCTTGAGAACGGAATTAGGCCCAGAGGGGCTCCAGGTGGAGTTAGGATGGTACGAAATCTGAAGTGGTGGACGAATTAATGGTTTTGCTATTGTTTTACGTCAAAGTTGATGTTTTGGGGTTGTAAAAAAATCAATCGAATATTCTGAACTCAAGTCTGAACCATGCTATTACTTATAAG